CCTGGCAGTGGCCTTGGGAGCCCTTCTATAATTATTAGTCACAGTGTTCTGGTCAATTTTAGGTGTAGAGAATGCCATTTTATCTTTTTCAGGTAAAATCCATTGAAAACTTAAAACATATTATTTCTACCAGGTTAGACTCTTGGTGTCTATATACCTGTATCCTTTATCTGTCAGTCAAGCTCATTTGCTTGGAAAGGTATTATTATAAGGAAATGTACTACAGCTCTTTTAGCCGAATATCAGTGGGGTGGTAATTTGATTGGAGGTGCTTCCTTCCCTTCAAACTTGTGTCCATCATCAGGCCTGTCCTCATGACTGCCTCGTTTCCATCATTGGTATCCTTATTTTCCACAAGTCATCTATGACTCCTTTTTCCCTCAGTATCCTGCCCCTCCCCGTCTGCAGTCAGGCACCCAGGCCTGTTGATTCTTCTCCACAGTTCCTTGTTCATCTGCCTCTTAGTTTACGTTTATTTTTCCACTCCCTTTGTTTATGATGTTGCCTTTCATTCCTGACCTGGAGCAGGAGTCTTCTGCGCTCAGAAGTTCTGTGACTGCAGTGTGGGCCAGGTGATAGGGATACAGAAACGCAGAAGCAGAGTCCCTGCTCTTAAGGAACTGAGTCTGTGGGAGAGACCCACTCAAGCAGTATTTGCTAGCATGATAAGTTTATGCAAAGAAGATGGCTACCTAATGGGTTTTGTCGAATTCAGTGGAGTGAATTTGAAGATCTAATAGGATTTGTTAAGCAAATCCTATCATGAATTAGGCAGCTTTCCATGTAGCAACTTGAAGAGTTTGTACAAGATATAAGGTTTTTATAGGAAGAAGGGTGGGGCAAGGGAGTTATTAACAAAAGAAAAGACAGGATAATTTCCTCCCCGTCCCAAGGGTTTTTATCAGGCAGATTGCCTCCTTCCGTGCCCAGGGAGGAAATGAAGTGGGTCCACAGGACAGATTACCTCATTGTGATGTTGCCCAGAAACCTTTCTGGGAGAAGTTGAAACAAAAATATTAGACCAGGTGTTAAATCTGGGTTTGGTTTCATGGGCTTTTAGCACAGGCAACGCCATATTGAGCCTGTGGTTTTTCTTTTTAACAGTTTCCTTCTCCCTCCTTTTGTCTCATTTCCTAACCTTAAGTCACACTGTTTAAAAAGTTTTATCTACATCAGTTATCTGACTTCCCTCTTAGTTGAGTGTTTTAATCCCTTTGCTTAATAGATAAAAGTTAAAGTAGATAAAAGTTAAACTTCAGCCTGGAAATGGTGGATTCTAGTAGTTTTCTAAGTATGCTTTCTGACTGCAGCTTCTGGGAGATTGTTAGAAATGGAAAGACCTACTGTGTCAGAAACTGGGGGGGCAGGGCCCAGTAATCTGTTTCAAGAAACCCTCTAGGCTACTCAATGACCTGTAACTGAGAACCACCACGTATGTCCACAACTGCCCAGAGTTCTTGTGAATCACAGCCTGAGAGCCTGTGGAGATGCAGATTACAGGCTCGCTCTTAGGCCTACTGTCTGGGGTGGGGCCCAGGGATCTGCTTTTAAACCTGCCCTCTGAACTGGGTGGGCTTCCCAGCCCCTGGGCCACGGACCTGTACTGCTCTGTGGCCTGTTAGGAACCAGGCCTTGGGCCAGCGAAGCTTCATCTGTATCTGCAGCCGCTCCTCAGCACTAGCATCAGCTCCTTGGCTCTGCCTCAGATCATCAGAGATTAGATTGTCGTAGGAGCACCGGTCCCTGATGCCAAAAAGGTTGGCTATCGCTGCAGTCTAGATGACTCTTCCCTGCCTGGTGAAGCCCTGGGCTGCTGTAAGAAGTTTGACTTTTATTTTGAATAAAAGTGGAAGTGGGAGGAGGCTTTGAGCTGTGGAATGAATGACCTGTGTCATCGCTTTAGTCTCAGGAAGCTCTTCTAGAATGCCAACACCTCTTTGGAAGGGACTGGTTTTGCATGTTCTACGTTGCTTTGCATTAAAAAAAGGAGATTTAACTTTAAAAATGTCTAATTCCTATACGCAGTTGTCACCCAGGCCTGTTGCTTGACCTGCCTAACAGGCTGGTTTCTTGTAAGGTATGTTCCACTTCCTAATCTCCTGGCTTCTACTTTATGGGCTTAGACTGGGGAAGCCCAGGCTGCCTCAAAGGATAAAATATTAGTGTGTGTTTGAACATGGAATAAAAACTCAGAAATGGAGGGTGATACTAGGAAATGGAGCTTCGTGCTGCCCTGCTTTGCCCTCTTATTTCTCCGTAGGTCATGGAGGAGGCAGTGCCCCCACCCCCCTTCAGATGGTGGCACCTTAGTTTTCCAGTTTTCTTCTTTTTCTCCATTTATGTACTTTTCCTGGGCAGTGGTTTCAACTCCGTATAGTCTGATTCACGTCTGTAGCTCCAGCCGAGACCCCTCTCCTGAACTGTGACTCCCCACTCTGGTCACCTACAGCTGTTACTGAGATAGTGCGCAGACACCTGCAGAGTCCCCAAACCACACCAATTCTTGAGGCCATCTGAACTTTCTCTCCCGTGGTTTCAGATGTATCTGTATGCTTGCGGCTTCTACACGTCAGCCTCCAGCGTGGACCTCTTTACCTTCAGTGCAGATTGTAATATCCATTTTCTACTTGACGTGCCTGGATGTCCACACTGAATTCTTCAGCCCTCCCTCCAAACCAGCTCCTCCCTTAGTCTTTTCCGTTTTAGTAGGTGACACCTGCATTTTATCAGTTGCTCAGGTCAAAAGCCTTGGACTCATCCTTGCCTCCTCTCTCTCTCATATACCCCACGTCAAGTTCAAGGGCACAGCCTGTATGTAGCCTCTCTTCACAGTGGATCTAGCTGGGGCCCGAGCACATCTCACCACCTCCATTGCTGCCACCTTCATTCGAGCTGCACTAACTCGAACTCGGACTGTGTCACAGCTGCTAACTGGTCTCCCTGTTTCTACCCTTGCACTCCCTGCCCCTCCTCGCCCCCAGTCTGCTTTCCACCCAGTATTGATCCTGTTTTGCTGTCTGCTCAAAACCCTCCAACAGCTTCTGGTCACATCCAGTAAACACCACAGCACTCAGGGGCCTACAAGCCTCAGGATGACCTCCCCGCCCCTCCCTGACCTGTCTCCTGGACCCACTTCACCTGGGGCTCCACTCACACTCTCCCCTGAGTACCTGTCTGTGTTTCCTCCTCCAGGCCTTTCCAACACTTGGTCTTCCCTTTGCTCAGAAGGACCCAGCCCCCAGGGGCCACATGGCTTGTGCTTCACTTCCCAGTCCCCGATGGATCACGTATGACCTCGCAGAGAAGCCTTTAACTGCCTCGCAGCGAACAGGATGGCTGTTGCTCTGTTCCCTCTCTGCCCTGCTCAGTTTTCCCTCACGGCACGTCTGACCACCTGGCTTCATATAATCACTTGCTTAGCGTCTGTCTGCTCTTAGCCGATTGCCAGCTTCCTAAGGGCAGAGCTATGTGCGCGCTGCCTTCGCCTGGCTCCAGGAATGGTGCCAGGCACGTAGTTGACACTCACGTGCTTGTCCGGTGCGAGACCTCCTTGTCTCCCCCATATTTACCTAAACTTCATTCTGGAGCTCACCCTTTGTTCCTGACACAACTGGTGGTTTGCATCGGGGTTGGTTCATTTGACCAGATGTCTCACATATCCTACTTCCTACTTTCGGGTTTTAGTGGCTTATAACGACACTTGCCTGGGGAAACTGAACTGCTCGATTGGCTATGTTGTCATGAACAGGTGTGGAATTCTGAAGTTACTGTTCCACAGCCTGGTCAAGGGGCTTTGGAGCCTGATATTTTTCCCCTCTTTTTCATTCTCGTCATCTGCCCGGTTGGGGGATTTAGTCCTGGACATGATGGCGCATGGAGTGACAGCCAGCTACAAGAAATGGCCCAGCTAAAGATGAAACACCAGGAAGAACTTACTGAATTGCACAAGAAACGTGGAGAGGTAAAGATAGCCGCTCTCCGTGGGTCTTGCGGTGGGAGGGTGGGCAGACGGGACTTCCGCTAGAATTCGCAGCCATCCCGGCTCCACGTGGCTTCACCAGCTCGATCTGTGGGACCGAAGCAACAGGAAAGGTGCGAGGTCTGTGCCTCCGTCAGCAGGGGGGTCAGCTCTTGCGAAGACTGCACGGTCGTCATGCTCTAAACTGGCATGAAAGGTACAAGTGGACCAACTTTGAAGGAGAGAAGGTTGCTGTTCGGTCCACTGAAGGTCTTAGTAATACCTTCACTAAGCTTCTGAGAGAAATAGAGGTGGACAACAGGTCGGCGGTTACTGGGGGGAAGGTGGCGGAGGGAGGGCTGAACGGATAAAGGGGCTCAGTTATATGGTGACGGGTAAAAACCAGACTTTTGGTGGTGAGCACGGTGTGCTATGTACAGATGTCGAATTATATATACTGTCACACAGCAGAAACTTACATAATGTCATAAACCAGTGTTACCTCAAGAATTCATTTTAAAAATAAAAACCCTGCAGTTTCAGAAAAATAAAGATTAGAAGGAATCATGTCCTGGGCTGTGTTTATCCTGGATGATGGTCTAATGGCAAATTACGAAAAAAAATACAATTTACATATCAGCTGAATTGGTCCTTTTATCAGCTGAGGAGTCTGCAAAGAGTAGACAGGGTGGGGGTCGGGTG